TTCCGGCTTTTTTCTTTTTGCTTATGTGGTGCTGAGGAATCAAACCCAGGGCCTCAAGCATGCAAGGCAAGCACTCTACCACTGAGCCACCTTCCCAGCCCCGTCTGTGAGATTCTTAATCTCCAATTAGCCATCAGAAAACCAGAAGTGGTGCTGTGGCTCAAAGTGGTAGAGCACTAGCCTTGAGCAAAAGTGCTCAGGGATAGCATCCAGGCCCACAACCAACAAAGCAGCAACAAAAGAAGAAGAAAAGAAAAAAAATTAGGAGAAGAGAGCTGTGAACCAAACAAAGCAAGTGAAATTTAATAATAATATATAATATATATGACATAAAAACTATGATAACTTCACAATGGAGAACTAGTATTTTGTTGGAAGACATCAAGGATGAGCACATACAAATAAATGACATAACTTCAGCCAACAATGCTGGAAATAAAACACAATAAAGTATCTATAAGAGCCCCCTTGGCTGGCATTTCAGATCCTCTTAGTGAGCCTTGGGTGCTTAGAAAAAGGTGTGATAGTCAAGTGCCGAACCTAGGAAAGACATCCAGGCAAGATGGAGAACAAATGCAAAGACCTTGAGGGAGAAATGAGCTTTGAAAGGGCAGTCCAGAGGAACTAAGAGATGGATATGTGGCCTAAGGTGACATCAAAGGGTAGCAAGCAAAGTGTTAGGGATGTGGGGCTACCTCTTGATGAAACTCAGCTTTATTGGACAAGTTGTAGTATGCCTGCAGAGGTTTTCCAGGAGTGTAACACTGCTAAGTCTACTCTTTTGCAGAGATCTAGCAAGCCTCTGTGCAGAGATGGCTCACAGGGGTGTGAGCAAGGCAGTTGGAAGCTTCTGGGGAGGTTCAGGTGCAGTAATCCAGGTGAGAGCTCATGGTTAAGGGGGTGGAGCCACAGCACCTGCAGCACAAATGGAGACAGTCAGGGTTCAGTGTGTACTTGGGAGAGGAGCCAGATGACCCACAATGGCTTAGAACACATGAACAGAGCCATCCAAGTAGGATTCAGGCTTCCAGCTCCTGGATGAATGATGGTACCTATTTATAGAGGAGGAGAAGAATGGGAGAAAAGCATTTTGGTAAGGTATCGGTGGTTCTTTTGAGAGTCAACGAAACTACAAAATTTTGCTCAGTTATTTTTTTCTTCCCTCTC